CTTCAAGCTTTCTTTTTTAGAAAATAGTTGTAGTAGCAATGTTAAATAGATCCACAATTAGCCATTCTGTAGGACAAACATATTTAGAAATAGTTTGTTTTAGAACCACACCAAATTAGTTCATTCACCTGGAAAGATTCTTTATCCTGTGGTGGGTGAAGTTAATTAGATGCTAACATATAAAATCCTTACAAATCAAAAGTTTAGTGATGAGTTTTCCAGAAGTGATAAGCAGTGAAGAAGTGGAAAATATATTTTAGTCTATTTAAATGTATTGTAGTCTATTTAAAAGACAAAATTTTTCTGTCTTAACTGTTTAAATTAAATATTGCCATGTGGGTATTTATGAGCAAAACATGATCTATCTTGACCTTACACAAAATCAGTTCTCTATTCTTTCTGACAGTTTCCAACTACTAAAAATTGTCTAAATTGTATAACATAACTGATCCAAGCAGTTCTAAACTTACTTGCCAATAGAAAGGTATTAATAACTAATTTTCTTCTGGAATTTTTTTGTAAGAGTACTTTCCAGAAAACCAAATTAGATGACCTAATATTATAGCTAATATATATAGACAGATAAATATATATATACATACATCTTCAAACATAGCATTCATAAATCAGTGAAAACTTAGTTTATTATATATTTGAAGTGCAAAGCTCACAGGGCATTTAAATTGAAGTGCTTAATGTGTTAGATAAAACCAAACCAAGAGATCGGATTAATCAATTAGAATATGTGTCCTATTTGGTTTCAACCTCTACTTGATTCATGTCAGTGCAGGGACTTGTGCCCAGCTCTGCTGCAGGGTATGAGTTTACTGTCTTTGGCTCGGTTTGCTAACTGGAGAAGTTGCTCTTGTTAATAATTTCAATGCTTTGAAATTAGAGAAGCTTCAATATTTTATTAATGGCTACTTCCGATCATTTGTGAAAGTGTTTCATGGTAGTAATTAAGAAATGAGTTATATATTGTACTCTAAATCTACAGAATATGAATGTCCCCGGTAGAGATTTCTGGACTAGACTGTGAAAGCTAATGATGATTATGGAGACATAGGAAGAATCCTCCACTCTGGGCTAAAATAGGCTTTTAACATTTTTATCTGATGGTAATTTGAGAAGAGTAAAAGCTATGTTAGGTGCACTCCTAGAGAGTTTGTGTGATTACCTCAGTGAGTGAGAAGGGACAGTATAATAGTAGCATCTTAACAGCTTATTTTTTTAAAGGTAAATTGTAAAGTAATAAAAACAGAAGAAGTAAAATTATCAAAATACAAAAATAATCTTACTTATGGTTATATTACCACTTGAAAAATAATTTGGTGCTTATTTTCCTGATCTATAAATATAGGTACAGAGGTAATTATTATCTGGAGTACATACCATTTTGTAATCCTGCATTTTTTTTTCTATATTGCTACATGTTTTTTATGCTCACCATGCATGTAGAGACATTGTAATCTTTCAAATATATCTGAAATATTATAATCAAGCATGGCCCTTTGTTGAGCATTTCCATGTCTTCCAAAGAGCATCACTGGCCAAAATTTTCCTGTAGTTTTATATTACCAGAAATAAGATCAATTAGTCAAAGAGAAGTCCCATTGTTATTTATTATTTAATTGACAAATACAAATTTTATATAATGTGAGCATATATAACATTCTGAAATATGAATGCACTGTGAAATGGGTACATCAAGCTAACTAACATACCATTACTTCACATCTTTTTGTGGTGACAATATTTATCATAACAGAAATCTTTTGTCTTTTTATCAGTTCCCCATCTTTCTTCTACCTCCAGCCCCTGAGAACCACCATTTTAAGCTCTGCTTCTATGAGTTCTGGTTTTAATATTAACACATAAGTGGAACCATACAGTATTTTTTTATCCTTGCCTGCCCCATTTTAGTTAGCATGATGTCCTCTAAGTTCAATCATGTTGTGGCAAATAGCAGAATGCAGGTTTTCTTTTCTTTTAAAGACTGAGTGGTATTCTGTTACACACACACACACACACACACACACACACACACACACACACACACTGTTTTGGTGGATAAAGAATTTGTGGAGTGTGTTTGTGTGTGTGTATACATATAAAACAAAATACTACTCACTGTTAAAAAAAACAACATTTGCAACAACATGGTTGAACGTGGAGGACATTATGCTAAGTAAAACGAGACAGACTCAGAAAGAAAAGCACTGCATGTCTCACTCACAATTGAAAAGACATTCTATGTCTTGGCTACTGTGAGAAACTGCAATTACTGTGGGAACGCAGATATCTCTTTGCCATACTGATATCATTTTGTTCAAATATATAATCAGAAGGAAAAGTGTTAGATTGTGTGGAAGTTCTGTTTTTAATTTTTAAGGAAACTCTGTACTGTTCTACATAATGATGGTGCTAATTTACATTCCCACCAATAGTGTACATGGGTTCCCTTTTCTCTCCATCTTCACCCACACTTGTGATAGTCTGTCTTTTTAACAGCCATCTTCACAGATGTGAGGTGATAGCTCTTTGTAGTTTTAATTTGCGTTTCCCTGATGATTGCTAATGTTGGCCATATTTGTGTCTTCATTTAAGAAATATCTATTCAGGTTATTTGTTCATTTTTTACATGGGTTATTTTTCTTGCCATTGAGTTGTATGAGTTTCTTATAGATTCAGATATGAACTACTTATCTGGTTTGCAAATCTTTTGACCCATTCTGTAGGTTGTCTTTTCACTCTGTTGACTTTTTTCTTTACTATGCATAAGATTTTTTTGTCGGACGCCATTTCATTTGTCTATTTTCGCTTTTGTTGCCTGTACTTTTGGGTTTGAGGGTTGTTGATTGCTTTTCTCAAAACAGCAAAATTCACTAATATACCTGGAGGAATATGGATGTAGGGGGAAAATGTATCAAAATGATGGAGGTTTTGCAGGAGATGAGTGCGATCCATTCACATTGCTGTGGTTGGAATATAGCAATTGCCAAGTGGAAGAAGTGATCCCACTATCTTTTCTTTCTGTTCAATGCCCCTTGGGATTTTGTGCTAGATATTAGCACTTCAGTTTTAAGGGGTCATAGAAAAGTTGGCACTTTTGATTTCCCAATCTCCTGACACTATCACTATCTTAGCATTTTGTTGATTTCCTTCATAACACTAATGATACTCTTTTGTTGTATGTTTGATGTGTTTAGTTTTTTCTTTACTAACTATTATGTTATTTCCATGAGATTGGGGTTGTGTCTGTGTTATTCACGTCTGCCTCTTTGGTACCTAGAATAGAGCATGATACACAGTAGATGTTCAATAAAATATATCAAAAGAATAATGAAAAGTATAAACACTAAGATTCAGGTAAATGAAAAGAACTGGAGATTAGGGACTAGAATAAAAACACAAAGATTTAACAGTTGCTTTTAAAGCAAAAGTATTAGATTTATTTTATTTATTTAATGGTCCAGAGGTTTAAATATGGATCATCGAGCATAAATTATGGAGGAATATGCTTGCAAATTATAGCTGTCTTAAATGACTGTTATGACTGACAATGAAAATGGGAATCATGTCTTATTTTTGGTTTTTATACTTTTCACTTTATAAAAAATAGTACAGATTATGTAAGAGTAATGCAATATTTCTCAAAATTAGTTACAAAGAACTCGAGTTGTCCCGGATTTTTGGCGACAAAAGGGGCTTCCTGGATAGATATATCTGAACAATTCCACATACTTTACATTTTCTTAGTTTATATTCTAAAATAAGTTTTTTGCATATTAAGTTTTATTGAACTTAGCCCCTTTCGAAAAGAAAGATGTTTAATTTTATTTAACTTAGAATTTTCCAAGTTGATTTGACTGATTGATGAATTTTGCAGACAACTGTGACAATCCGCAGAGTGAGTGTTACATAGCTGTTGTGGGAGACGCTGGTGCAATCTTACTTGAGTAATATTCACTCTGGTGTTGTATCTGAGAATTTCTTTTTTAAAAAGGAAGAAAGAAAAGTATCTATTTATGTTTCTATCCTATCCTGTCTCTGTTGTGAACTTAATCCACCTACATGGGCAACCATGCCTTTTTTTCCTTAAAATCTCCCTCTGTCACTCTTGTTTCTTTAACATCAACCTGTAGTATGTCAAACTAAAGACGCAAGTAGAATTTTCTCGTTAACAACTGACTTGACAGATAGTAAAATCATACTGCACCAAACTCAATGCTAGATGTTAGGCATGGAAGAGTTAGTTGGGTATATTCAAATCTAATGTATACGTCTTGCACTGTTTAATGCACTTGTTCAGCTGGTATTCTGTGACAACATTTTGTTAATGTTTACAACCTTAAAGCTTCTTGGTTGTAGGTTCAGCTCTGCAGCCAAAGCAATTTTTCTTCTAACTCTAGACTGGATGGATTGCTTGTTTTCTAAAACAAATGATTATTTTTTCTTTAGTAAGTATTTCTGAAATATACTATCACTAGCATTCTTTTAAATATGATGAATGTGTGTGATAGTAACATAGGTTCTTTACTGAGACCCTTTCTTTACCTGGACTTTTCAATTCTTTTTTTTTTTTTTTTTGGTATGCTATTTTTCACATGGAGTGACATCTGATTTATTCTGTTTTCAGAACGCAAAATTACTTCACTTATATTTTTCATTAAAGTCACAGTACTCAGTGATTCACCTTTGCTGTTTTTTGTTGTTGTTGTTGCTGTTGTTTTCCTACTTTAGAGGTGATGAGTTAGGCTTCGTATATTTGTTAAGCTGTGAAGGTGGCAGAATGGAAATCTGAACCCAGTTCTTTTGATTTTATAACCTTTGCTAAATCATACGGTTGCCTCTATAAACAATATCTAATGGGTTGCACAATGTTTTAAATTGCTTTAACTGCACAACATCATAGCAGTCATTTGTTGATTTTTTTTTTTCCTCATGAAGTTTTCTGTGAATAACTTGGGTTGTTTATTTTTGTGTGTGTGACTTTTTAGGGTTGGTGCAAATGTGCAGTTCTCCTGTGAGGACAATTATGTACTTCAAGGATCTAAGAGCATTACCTGCCAGAGAGTTACAGAGACCCTCGCCGCCTGGAGTGACCACCGACCCATCTGCCGAGGTAAGGCATTTGCACTGAGACAGGGCCCAGGGTCATTTTCTTTAGGGTTGATATTTTTTCTGAACATATAGTTTGTATAAAACAGTCTGTCTATAGGCAGAGCAGAACTTGGTAATGATGCATGTTTTCATAATGATATGGTTAACAAAATAATTATTCCCTTGAAATTTGTCAGGAGGCAAACATTTCCAAGAATATTTACATGTTTTACATTTCAGAACAGATATGAGAAAATCTAATAGTTCAAACTCACACATACTCAAAAAACTTGGTATCCATCTACATATACACACAGTATGCAAGTATATAAATATACTAGGGGTACCAAAAATGTATACACATTATAAGAGATGTTATCTACATATGACTTTTAGTTCTCCATAAGCAGAAGTGCTGGGCGCCGATGGTAACCACTTTAAGCACCTCTTATAACTGCAGAAGTCAAACATGATTTGTATTCATCTTGTGTTATTGGTAGACGTTGAATATTACGATTTTAATATAGCTTTTTTCCCTTCTTAAAATGTGTATTTTTTTTTGGCACGGTCTGTATGTTACATAACCAGATCCTTTGGAAAGTTTAATGTGTGCCTGGCAAATTTTAAAGTTCCTACTTTTCAATAACAACGAGTTTGAATTTCTTGGTTTTGATCACATGAGTGATAAAGGGAGTTGTCAGCATGATCCCAAGTCATCATTTTATTAATAAATGATCTTAAACTAATCTGTGAATTAGCAGAGTAAAATATTCATCAACATTATCATCATCTTCAAAGAAAATGTATGCAGGCAGCAGAGATTAAGGTCTTTATCTGTCACTTCTATAAAGTATATGAACAATCCTACCAGAATTTTAGAAATCATTCTGAGACCATAGAAAATTATTCAGGTTGATTTAAAATAACAAAATAAAAAATTAAGATTAAAAACTGGTTTGTAAGGGGCTGTTTCTAAATGTTAGCACTATTTTGACAAAAGAATAAAAAGGAAAGTTTCATATATAATATCTCATCCCTTCTTATAGTCTTTCCCACATGAAGGGAGTCAGAATTTTTTAAGTTTATGCATTTTGGTTATAAAAAGGTGTGACTAAAAAAGTATAGTGTCATTATATCTTGTGAGATGGAGTAATTGCCAAGTGCATTGCTTGCCACATTGAAGCTTAAAGTACTATGTTGTGTATTGATTGCACTGCATGCCTCTCCATGGTTATCATGGATGTCTTATGACATCTAGCATCTGCCCCAACATGGAAGTTCAACTGATAGTTGACTACTTCCTGTTAAATGGAGATGCTCCACAGAGAAACACCACACTCTGGTCAAGGAAGCATACGTGGCAGTGACCTTCTGATTTTTGTCACTAGACTCCTTTGTGCATTTTCTAATCAGAGAGTAGGATTATTAAGCTCTCAAAAACAAACCAAAAAAACTGTACCAAAATACACATTCCCACTAGGGGTGGTGATGCACCCCTAGTGGGAAATATGAGAAATAAGTCACTGGTGTTATTTTATTCCTAGAAAAAATTTCTTTATTATTTAATAGTTTTCTTGTTCTTATATATCAGAAAAATACTTCATTATTTTAAAAACCCAAATTAGAGAAGCAGTAGACTTGTATCCTTTTACATTTATCACTTTTAAATTGATAGTCTAGAGTAACGTAAAGGAAATATTTGTCCATTCGTGACTTGATTTTTACATATTAATGTATAGCATTTCCTTTATTTGCCCTGAGTCGCATCTTAGACACTTTCGCAGTATCCTGTCCCCAACTTATTAAGCACTCTGAGATACCTATCTCTTAGAAAACAGTTGCTTCCTCTAGGCTGATGGCAAACAATTCTCTTCTGTCCTCCTCAGCTCCCTACCCGTTTACTCTTAGAGAAAACTGGGAGACATTTTGGCTTCCTGTTCTCACAGATTCTCATGTCCAGTTGATAATATATTGGAAAATCATATTTCCTTTACAGGGTCTTTGTGATTTGGTGTGCTTGGTTTGGTTTTCCACAAAAGTTATCAGCAATCTTCAACATCCTACTTCTTCCTTTCAATTCCAAAGGCAGAGAGTGTTCAACTCTGTTCATTTCCTTTTCTGATGATTCACTTGTTTTGCTTAAATTAGATATACCTTGATTATCACTGAGTAGTTCTTTAGTTCTTTTTAAATGTTTGACTTTAAACTTTTTGGACTAATGACTGACTGTAGCTGGAAATAATTTTTAAGAAATTGTTTTCACAAAACATATATTTTACTAGTATTCACTCAGACAAAAGACACACACATATTTTTTGAGATAATCTTTCTCTAACTCCTGCTGAGATGTGAGAGTGACAATGCTCTTCACTTTCTAGGGACCCTCCAGATTTGTTGAAAAGATTCGTGAGAAATCCCCTCAGTTTCTTAAAGTACACTTTTTTTGACTGAATATTTGTACTCTGACCTTAGGAGTATTCCAAGACCTCAGTAAAAGCTTCTGCAGTCAAATGCTCAGCCTTTTCTCTGGGTAATACTTATAGCTGTTTTTCAAAATTTGAGCATCCTTTGCAATCTGGAGAGGCTGAGAAGTTTTCGAATCATCCAGTTATGGGTCCTTTTTGTATAACAGTTCTTCCCTCATTTATCTCTCTCCTCTCACGTTTTACTCTAAGCAGAAGAAGAAATCAAGTGGCCCCTTCAACGTGGCCTGGAAATCTCCTTAGCTGCGCATCTGAGTTTGCCACCTCAAAGTCCTGTTTCCCTCCCAATCACAGACCCACTTCTGTGAAGCGTCTATCACTTCTTCCAGTTCCCAGTAACATGTCTCTCCCTCCTGAGCCTTACCTACAATGTCTTTAAAATACAGATTCCTACTAACAGTCTGTTCCAGGCAGTTGAGGTTTTCTCTATCACGTTCCTCAATGTTCTCCCAGCCCGGACCCACCACCCAGTTCCAAAGCTGCTCCTGTATCTGTTACAGACACCCCACACCCAAGCTCCTGACTCTGTATGAGTGAATGTTCCAGAACAGCAGAAAAACCACTCTGCAGAAAAACCACTCAGGTGTGTGTGTGTGTTTAGATCAGGAAACTGGCTCACACGTTGGTGGGGCTGGCTACATGAGGAGAGACAGTCAGAAAGGAAAGATAGTGTGAGCAGGCTGGACCCCTGAGTGCAGGTCAAAGTTGTGGTCCACATGCAGGAGTCTTTCTCTAAGGGAAGTTCTAATCTCTTTGAAAACTTCCCAGTACTGATTAAGTAAAGGTCAGACAGAATAATCTCCTTAACTTATAGTCAATTGATAAGAAACTTTAGTTACACCTGCTAAACTTTTCACAGGAGCTCCTAATGTTTGCTTGAGTAACTGAAAGAAGACACTTCCCAAATATTCAGTAACCAAGTTAAAAAGGTAAAAGGAAACAAGCAAATTTAATTTTAATAACAAGTTTTATTTAATCAACATATTCAATACATTATCATTTTAACATCCTGTCAATATAAAGTTTATAAGGAGATACTTTATGCACTTTATTTTTTTTCATACTGTTTTGGAAATTGCTTGTGTATTTTATACTTGGAGCATAGCTCACCTCAGACCAGCCACATATCAAGTGCTCGATTGCCACAAGTTTCTAGAAGCTGCCATGTGGGACACAGTACTGGATACTCAGCTCATGCTGCAGTCCAGGTTTTCTTAACTGTAAAGAGTCATTAACACCCTTGTGGGTGCACAGAGGAGAAATGAGCTCAGGGAGTTTTTCCCTGTTCCTGGCTGGCATCCTTCCCTATAGAGCACACTTTCATCAATTAAAATCTGTACGTTTTTCAGGTTGGCAATGTTTAGAAACCCTGCGAATATGTCATACTTCCTCCTTTAAATAGTATTGCTACTTGCTTCTAATAACTGATGTGTCAATTAGAGAAGAGCTGAAAAACAGTTGTTGGAAGTGGCGCTTTTATGACTATTTATATAAAAAAAGATAACTTTAGATATCTGAGCGGTACAGGAATACCATGATACCATAAAACTGAACAATATTTCAGGAGCTACCCAAAATAGACTATACAGACATTTACTTAACTAACAATAGGTTCTGTACAGAAAGTTCAATTTTCCAAGCTTATTTTTCAATTTGTGCCGTTACCATTATAAATAGTATCTAAAAAGACAACATCATAATTTGTTTTTCTGATTCAATCTTAGCCTTTAAAGGAACCCTTATAGTGATTGTATCTACCTTTACTCTAAACTGAAACATTCATCTTATACAATGAAGTGCTTCTGGCCTGAATAGTGTGCACACATTGAGCATAAAGATATTTCAGTTAGGTGTGTCAAGGAAGGACTTGAGGTAAGATCCCCAAGGTTCTCATCTTCATGAAGGGTCTGTAACTCTTAAGGAATCATCATGCCTTCTTTACAGAAGGAATATCTGATGGAAGGGTTTGATAAATTGTAGTGAGTCACAAGTGATCCTTCCATCTGGAAACTGGTGTGGTTAGCCAATGCTTACATTAGCTAATTAACTCTGAGGACCAGGGGAACATTACCTTTTCTTCCTGTTACCAAACAGATGAATGGTTGTCATAGCTCAGTAATTATACAAGTGATTTTGTTTGAAATTATGCTTACTTCATTTAGGAATATGAAAACAACCATTATAATTTTTTGCAGGGTAAAACATTATGAGCTGTTTAAAACTGTATGAGTATCTTTAGCTGGCAGTAGATTTATAAAATAAACAAAACAAAATGAAAAGAGTATATCTTTTTTTTTTTTTTAAGTAAAATGTTCAGGCTGGCATTTCATTCCATCAGTCCTTAGGGGCAATTTATGTAGGGAACTTCTTTTAATGCTAATGCACTTTGATCTGTAGAGTTAATATTTTGAGTTACTCCCTGAGTTGAAAAGGTCTCTAAGAAAAATGAAATATTATTTTCAGTTGTAACCGTGGTTACTGGGAGGTAATTGAAGTCAGCAAGGGTCACCAAATAAAGTTATTATTACCTTGAGATTTC